AGTAATAGGTAATTAACCTAGTATTACTCTACTATTACTTTAATGCCAACCGGTAATTACCCTAGTATTACCCTAACATCATCCCCAAAATTACCCCAATAAAACCCAGTAATGACTCCAGTGTTACCCAAATATTACCTCGGTAGGTACGCTAATATTACCCTAATATGACCGGGTAATTACCCCTAATATTATTTTAATATTATTCAAAAATTAGCCTAATATTATCCAATGGTTACGCTAATATCATACCAATAATTACCCTAATATCACTAAATGATCACCCCAGCATTACCCTAATCTTATCCAATGATTACCCCTAACATTACCCTAATATCACCCCAAAAATTAACAAATGTCAAAAAGGAGCGGGGTTTTAACTAGGGCAGCATATATTTTAGCTTTTCTACCTACCTTTCCAAACGGGAGAGTTCTAACTACAGGCTTATGTCTTATTCAACTGCATGAGTCCACCAACTTATCTCCTAGGGATTCAAAATTAGGGTCATCCAGCTGGCTAAGGTATGCAAAAGTGTTTTCTATAATACGCATGCTAAATCCCGTTATATCAGAGCACTGTATAGCTAGATAGATAGATAGATAGCTTTATCCGGTAATTGCATAGGTTATGTATCGTTTATTTATTTACTTAATATTTTAAAATCGCTATGTACGTGAGTTTAAACTGAGAATACGATTTGCTGCTAGCAAAGCTGTAGAGGAAATCCTTCGAATCAAACAGCTCCAATGGGTTTCAAACAGGCCGCATCATGAAAGCTACAAGGGTCCGGACCAAACACAATCGGTGCAGAGATGAATGATTAGAGAGCTTAACAGTGACCAAGTGTTATAAACATTCATAACATAAAATACCCAGGTGCTGCCTAATGAAGAATCGAGCAGAAGATACCGATAAGAATTATCATTCTAAAGTTGAAATTTTGCGCCTTCGCAAGTTTTTCGTTGGACCATGATATCACTGCGCAAGCATATTTATGTGTCGGACGACATTGAACATTTGAATAACAATACCGATTTGTCTAATGAATAGAGAATATTTGTCAACAACGAGGTCAACTAGTCTTTTAAACAAATCACTGAGTTTGCGGCTTATTTGTTGAATATTGCCATGTTTCAAAAACGCTGACATTTCTTTTGGATAGAAAAAAATCGGAAAGATTTTCGGGGAAATCTATTATAGGAGCACCCGAATGAATCAAACACTAGTTTCCACCATAACATCTATTGATTCAGGACACATGTCTCACAAAATATTTGTAGTAGGTACTAAAATCGTAGGTAGGCGTAGTACCTACGATTTTAGTACTCTTACAAAGTGTCTATAGAGTATTCGATGCACTAGATTCTTTTGTATGAGAGTTTAAGTAATAGAAAAAGATAGCATGTTTATAGAGAAAAGAGCGTTAAAAACTCTAATTTGCCCATGTTAAAAAAAAATAAGTACCATACATAATTAGGTACATTATGAGTAGACGATAGTAACACACTAAACTGTTTGTGTCGATTTTTTATCTAAACTAATTGCCGTAAAATGTTAGCCTGAAAAATAATTTCAACTTTAGCCTATTGCTATTCTATTGTATCTTATATAGCATAAAAATCATCGGAAACTTTTTTTTTTTAAATTTGGTTCTAAATTTATTGGCTTAGTCAAAATGCAGTAGGTCTAAAAATCGGTAAGCAATTCAACGGGCAGCTACATGATGTAATTTCTCTATTAATTATGCCTCTACATAGCTTTTGTGTAGGGCCAATATATTTAATAATAGGAAAACTCTTCCTTCCAGTCGGTGCTAACGCCACCTATTGGCAGCTCGGAGCATCAGCATCAACTCCGGTGTAACTGGCGTTATATGAACCCACATAATATATTGTACATAAATAGATCTAGAAGCTGTTTAACTCGTGGCTCTATCTATCTGATATCAATTTCTCCTAGGGATCATAGGTTCACACCTTAAAACCAATATGCACTGTGAAGCTAGTACCTTAATTTTTGTTCCAAATCGATTTGCAAGCATTTAAAACCTTATGATATTGGCTAACTAAATTTTGTTTGTACCTAGTCATCTAGCCTTACCTCACTTTCGTTAGACAGGAGACCAGCGTTAAATAAAGGATCGTATAAACTTAACAACTAGCTTATCTACTTGAATTTTCCAGACTCCCTTTAGAAGATAACGCAGGCACCCTTTTACACTGCTACGGCTTCTGTTGTGTCATTTATGAACTCGTTCTTGACAACCGCAATCCCTTTAACTCAAAGGCGGGTAGCGAGTTTACAATTGTTAGGAGTGCTGAATGCCGCGTAACAGGGAAACCCAAAAGATCATTCGAGCGTTCCGATGTCTTCCACCAATAGCAGATACCAAAGAGGAAGGAAACTGCTAATAGTACGGCAGAAGTCACCCGACTGCCGTACAGATGACATATACGTGCCTTTCCTAGGCCCGACGCAAGAAGCTCCCCCATCCAGTAAAAGCCAGACCACCCATCACAGTCCGTTTTATCCATTCGCTACCATTCACCACTTATAAACGGAGTCTCGTATGTGGTCGCAGCTGCTCGAACATCCGTCGATCACCACTATTGACAGCAAAGTAGCCTAACCTGAGCGCCACCAGCTGACTTTGGGCTACTGTTTAGCTAAAGTTACTAACTATAGGCTAGACGGTGACAATAGCAGGCGATAGGTTGCAGCACAGCAGTAAAACGCTCTGCTAGCTAATAGTATCTCCAAGGCTGCCTTCGCTGGCCTTCATGAGACCTTTAAGAAAAGAAGTCTAAAGTTAGAACTCAAGAGATAGTTTCTCGTAGTGTGTTCTACAAGGCTGGCTAAACATAACTGCCAAGCAATTGACTGCTGCTGATGGCTACTACTGCTAATGTTGCTTTGTGAACGAAGCAGATGTGGGGGCCGTTCTGCTACCCGCCTGGCAATCGTCAGGTGTTGGGCGTCTATGGCAGAACGACTTCGGGCTGTTGGCGTTCTGCCATCGATCTTAACAAACGTCTTTCATGTGGTGCCGACTGACATGTCAAGTGGTAGTGGGCTGCTGGTTGTAGTCGGATGGCGGCGGGTTGCCCTTTGAACGCTATGTGCATGCACACCGGACGCGGCGTCATGGCGTTCGAGTCAAGGTAAAAGATGACGAGAATTCGAGTGACTCCTTGTGACTTTGGGCGGGCGTCCCGATAAAGCACTGGCTAACAACAAATTACTAGAGTCATTGTAAAGACTGCCGGCAGCTCTTGGTTATGGCAGCAATGCCTAAAGCTCGTCGAGGGAGAAGACGAGGAAGAATCCTTTATCATTTACTTAAATGTTAAAAGCATCAAACCTTTGGAGAAACCCGAAATAACATGTGGTCACAGGAACTACGCAGTATAACGATAAATTCAACGACAAAAGTCATTATCGAGCAGCGTACAAAATAATATGCGATTGTTTAATGAGGCTATAGTTAAACCCAGTGTGCAGGTGTAGTCGTCGATATACTAATAGGAACCATCTATCCTGGTGATGGCTCCGATGGTAGCCAAGCTGATATTTTGCATGAGTTACACGTTCAAGTCTGGACGTCCGTGCAAGTAACTTTTCTATGACGAAGTTACGCTCACGGGAAGAAACACTATGTGCTTTAAGAGGGAATGATTGCCGAAGAAATTTTATGCGTCACATGAAACGTGTCAATCAAAACAACAAACCAACAAAGGTAACAGAAGCTACAGGCGACAAAGTCGGTGCCAGCAGCTTTATGTTGATGACAAAGAGGCTAGCTTGAGCTTTCCAAGATGGATAGTGTGAAAGGCATATGAGAAAACATTGCATGATCTACAATAGCATAGTCGCGTAAGCCCCGTACTTTAATTCGATCTTAATACTCGGGCGATCGTCCCTTGAACTGCTTAATATATATATATATATATATATATATATATATCTATTTATGCCACAAGGTTAAGATAAGGATCCCACTCCAAGAAAGCTACCCTTAAAATGATCCAATATAACTTTCGAAAGAGCTATTACTATCGCTGGTTGCTGCTAATTTAAGTCAACGGAGAACTTTTATCTAGATCTGTGTAAGAAAGGACAAACTCCGATCTTAATACGACTTAAATATGTAAAGGCCGAAGAATCCGCTAAACGGGTAATAAATGTACTTCTTCTTAATGATCTAAATGAAAAATGTAATCTAAAAGAGTATCTGTGGTTGCGTAGTGTCAATATCTGGAATACACATACTTCTTCAAGCGGTTTAAACTCATCTTTAAACAAAAACTTAATAAATTGACGTTTCAGCTCTAGTGAAAAAAAAAGGAGAAGTGCAAAACTTACAAATCGCTATTCAACTTTATATAGGATACTCATTCAAAGGGGTATTACATAACCTATTAGGCTCATTGCTATTTTATTGAAAATCCTCTCAGTTAGTTGTTTGGCGGCTAATAGAGCCAATGCATAGTTCTGTATAAATCCTGCATACGCACACAATATCGGCTTACATGTCAATCACCTAAAAAAATCGATCGTCTCGAAAGACCGGAAAGTGCACCTAAGTCCAACCGCCTCGCCCGATGCGCTCCGTTCGCGTCTGTTATCCTCCGCAAGCTTCAGCACCCTATATTAACGACATGTACCATTGGACCGAGCCTGCCACTACTTCAGAATTTCATTTTTGTAATATCACCAAAGGCAACCATAGCACAGTCATTGTGACGAGCAACACGTATGACACTTAAGCAACAACAACAACAGCAAATAAGATTTTTTTTGTTAAATATAGCGAAGTGGGAATAGGTAGCTGCATCAAAAATGGTTTTTCTACTTCACACAAGGTCCCCGCAATGTACATTGCAATCCTGCAGCTCGGCCATTGAATGGGGTTGAAGCCGCATTGACCTGAGGAAACATTAGGCTGCCGTAACTTGCCTAGTGATGAAAACAGATGATGAATGAATCGCAAACAAACAAAACACGAGAGATTTGTAGATACGAAAAATCGGTCACATTTATTATCCAACTTGTAGATACATATACAGGATCGATCGAGATGCAACTCACCACGCGGCTGTATCACAACCGACGTCTAACAACAACTCAGCGTTTAGGACCATTGAACCGCGAACGCCGACGACATCCGCCGTGACGAGAAGGGCGGATATATGTTGAAGTCGCCCTCTCACTTTAATCTTCCGTCCGTCGTCATCTGGACGCTGATCATCGTATCACGATAAACAAGAGTCCGTCCGAAAAAGGGCACACTAACAAACACTGACCGATGGAAAGATAAGTAAACGCTAACCAATACGCAGAGCGTTGCGCGTTGATCGGCGTTTGTGTTTGCGTACGACGTCACGTAATGGCTAGGAGTTTAGATGGTGATAAACTCGATGGCCGACGGCTTAGTTGTAGGTGCCGTCTAGGGGCTTGTTGGTCATGGCGGTTTCCTTGTTACCGAGGTGCTCTCCTTTGTCCATTGAGAGGCATCCAGCGCCACCGCCAAATCCGTATCCCTTCGGTCCGTATTTGCGGCCATAACACTGCTTGCAGAAAATCTCGCCGCCGTGGTCGCCAACATTAGTCGAGTCCAACTTCTTATTGCACAGGCCACACTTAAAGCAGGACTTGTGCCATTTGTTACCGGCGGCCAGCATCTCCTCGGCGGCGTATACTGACTTGCCGCATTTTGGGCACTTAGCCTGCTCTTGGGGCACGAACGGCATTCTGACTAAGCTTGTTAGTGAGTTGTTGATATGGTACAACTGCTAGCAGGTCTCCCAGAGACTGTTGCTCGACGGATGGCACCGCAACGGACACTGGTTTACCGGAGGCCTGATGTGATGCAAGACCCTTTAGAACGCGGTGGGAAAACGAACAAGTCCGAGGGCGGAGTTGCGCCAGCGGCCACGGCGAGGGAAGCGATGCCACACTAGAGGGTATCCCTTTTAGCCTAAACTACGGAGCTGTAACCATTAGACAGCCTAGCGAATGTAAGAACCGACTGCAAAGCGAAAGCGGCGCGGCATAACTAATACTCCCCAACAGTCTCCCGGCTCTAACGCGCATAGCTGGCAGAGTACGAGCCGCTAACCATACGCCGTGCAACCAGGGCTTGGCCAAACTTAGAAGAAGCGCTCGGCGCTGTGTTAAAGCATTGGAAGCCGCTGCTAACTAACGCAGCTGACTACCTAAACACCACCATAAACTGGCATCGACCCGCAACCAGCACCCAAGCGCTTTGAATCTACGTTAACCGCCCTCTGCTTCTCCCTAGGGCCAACACGGCTAGAACAGTCGTAGCAGTAAGCATGACCGACAGCAAGATCAACATCATTACCATCCGTAGGTGGGACGATCTCTGAAAAGGAAAAAAACTCACCTATCGCCGCTCCTGTAGCGCCCCCTAGTAAGACTAGCGATGCTGGTTATAGGATAATATCAGCATCATATAAGCTAGCTAGTAGACACCAGTTATATGTTAACTTGATAGACTCGGTTGGATTAAATCGATCTACCGGTGAATTTATTAAACGCAAACAATTTAATATCTGCAGCGGAAAGGACCGCAAACTAAGGAGAGGTCGTTGCGGCAACAACAAACACTTTACGCTACTGCTGTAACAACCATCGTTTACTCACTCAGTAGCTACTGCGGCGGCAGCAACAATCGTAGACAGCTCATTTTAGCCACCGCCCTAGCTGTTTTTCGTCATGTCTATACGTGCTATATACTGTTACCGTTAAGCGTCACTAGCTACGGTGTCGGTAAGCTGGCAATGCGGCCATCGCCTGTCCGACATCTCTTAGGCGTTCGTTCGGCCTTGTCTCTTTTTCTGAGTCAGTCCTCGACATCTCGCTGGTGCCACCGGTTAGCAGCCCAACAAGACACCACCGACGAACTCCTGCACCGGGTCCGTGCCTACTAAACCACCTCATCAGCTTAATATTAGACTAGATGGCCGACAGTACTAAGCTGCAACCCAAACGGTAACGACGATTACCCTTTCTAAGATTGACTTTTCAGACAGCTAGCTTTGTCCAGTGGTTCCTGCCATTCAGACTCTACAGGCGCGGAAATACCATATATTGATCTATCGGAAGCGTTCGCTTAAACGCAATGATGTATAATCGCTGGTTGACCAAAGGACCCGTGGGTAGCGGCCGGAACCACGGTGATGAAGGTGGCGCAGCGTTTGCCAATCACCAATCTTCAAATCGGCCTATACAGCAGAATTAACTGGCTTGTTCATATTGTGTCTGCTGATGTTTATTGGCAGTTACCGGGATGGGGCGCCGGTGATGGCGGTTGTCTGTTTCTGTACAGAGAGCAACAGTTAGTCCTAACGCTAGTGTCTGGCTGAACAGCCGCGCGTGCCAGCGCTTCAGGCTCTTTCCCCTTTCAACATCAGCGAATCGGTACGACTACAGAAGCTAGTTGGTAGCAAACCTCTGGAAAGACCTTTGCTGACATTACTGTTGCTGTCTCTGCCGCCCGCTATAAAACGCCCACACTAAATATAAGCCCTGCGCAGGACCCAGCAGCTTGCCAGGAAAATCACCCGAAAGAGAAGAAACACTTAAACTCTTTCTGTTTTGCTTTGAGCTTCTCATTGGCCTGTATGTACTTACAAACATATTATTACACACCATATGGTCAAGTGCGCATACACAGCATTTCCCGAAATTCAGCTATTTGAAGGCAGTTGCAGGTAGTCGTTTGTACCAACAGAAGACAGCTTGGCAAGAGAATCGAGCACAATCATCATATGAACTGCCGGTAAGGGACCTACGAGATTATCCAACAACGATAGCGATTGAGACGATGTGGATATCAGAGGAAAGCTGCTAACTTGCGAGATCAGAACAAGTTATACTGTAAAATACGCACAAAGAAAATCTGAGATGAAAGGAGGAACGCGACTTGCCTGCGCTGTTTTTTGCAATAGGCGCGGCGGACGCCGCCATTTCAGCTGTGCAGTTCACATGGTTAGCGTCTCGTTCAGTGCGGACGTCTGTAGATGGGCGTTACATTCGCAAACGCTCGTTGAAAACACCAAGCGACAATAATAAGATGCGTGGGCTGTTGAAGTAAGCAATGACTGTGGTTCATGTTTGGGGCGCTGCGACTATAGAAGCGACGAGTCGTAGGTTAGACCTACGGTGAGTAGTAGGCTCAACCTAACTGTACTCAGATACAGCTACGGTGGCCATTTCGAGTCGTTCTGATAAATAATCACTACTAAAATGGCAGAAAGCCACCGTATTAGTAAGTGCTTGATGCTGTAGCCACGAGTTCTACAGAGTCTTCACCGCTAACGAGCGTTAGACGGCCTAGTTGGCGGTTTAGGCGGGGAACATTGTTGAGCTTACCAACAGGCCATGTAGGTATCCGTGTCTTGGTTAGACGTACGTGCCCGTCAACGAAACCAGTTTCCTTTATCTACTTTTCATAAGCGTCCAGCTTCTTCTCCGAGTGACCATTCAGGCGACAGGCGTTTTCGACAGGACTATCGTATGTGCGGCACGAATACAGGCGTTGTGTAACAGTTGTCGCTGTGAAAATCGCTTGAGCGGGAAACGCCATAGCCAAGAGGGATGATCAAGAGAACGAATAATACGCAGCGTTTTGCGTCGTATAAATAGCCGTAGTTTACTAGTAAAAATATTTACACCTACATGGGACTACGTGGTAACGTTACCGCATAAAATTTATCAATCGGTAGCCATGCGGGTGGACTAAGGAGAACTGACTGGCTTATGTGAAGCGTATGTAATGCTATGTACAATAATCTGCGAATCTATGTCGCATATAACTCTCATGGGTCTTTTGTTTTCTTGAAGGCGATTCTACCAAATGTGTTTGAAAAACCTTTTGGTTTTGATCCATCCGCCCTGACGTATACGACTGGTATCTATGTACAAGAGAATATCAACAACGTCATCTCCTAAACAAAGCAGACGACAAGTTTTGCCTTGAAGTGGAACAACTACAAAGTGTGTAATAGCAGAATTCGCTCGCCGCAAAAGCAGACTTTGTAGGTAGAGCCTAATGCTGCTTGTATTTACAGCAGTGTGTTTTAAAAGCCTCATTTTCATATGTTGGGATATTTCCGCTTCAACATTTAGCCCTGCCTTCGGCCTGACCTCTATCGCGTTCTTCGTGCGATTAGAGTGCCAACGTGCAGATCAAAGTACGATAGCAACCATGTTTCACGATTCCGCATTCTATTATGATCTTACTATGCATTTGTTCCAAATCTAGAGTAATGAGAAGCAATAAACATGACTATATCAATAGTCTAACATGCGTATTTTCCAAATGGCCCCACATATTGAACAGAAGAACTAGAATAAAGAATACGTCTGGCAGTATGTACTATGCAGATACTGGATTCGTTGTGAGGGCTAACAAAAAACGTTTCAGATCAGAGTACACCTAACTAGTTACTCCTTCCTTTATTAGTCTCTAAAGTCGCTCACTATTACTTTTTTGTTTGACTTTTGTTATCATTCTTAGAGTACGCTCTGAACGCGTTCTGAACAATTCCACGATTTTTCCAACACTTGATTACCACTCTGCAAGTAAGCCGGTTAACGTGCTCTGTAGACACATAGAAAACGCTGCTGAGCGCAATAATTTACTCGGATTTATTATCTCTTTAATTCCATTTACACGTAAACTCATTCCTGTTCTATGTTTAGCAAAAACTTTAGGCGCCATTAACAGACAACCAGTCCCTCCCGCACCCGAGCATCCCAAATCAACGTTATCAACGTCATTTTTTGCAGCTACTACGCCTAACGAAGCTCCCAGTATCTCTAGTAGAAACTGGGCTCGATGGATGTTTTTTTTCCGTTCACTTGTTTACTCGGTTAGTAACAGAGGCAAGTGGAAAATCAACGATAGGACACGGGCTGGTAAGCGTCTCGTCCAACGACGACCCCCAATATGGCCATGTCGTGGTTGGTGGACCAGGTTAAGGCTTGCTTGCTTCACGGCCCAATCGATTGGTCGGCCTGGAATGTGTTTTTATAGAGCCCGGCATCGTTCCTTTAGCGAAAACGTCAAGTGAGTAGTCAGCCACACAGAACCCAAGGCGGCCAATTCGGGTTTGCATGGCCGCAGCTGAACAAACTCGTTGTCGAAGCAAGCGCTAGAACTGGGAAGCAGGTCACCCGCCTAACGATAAAAGGTCACTTCTTACTATTCGAAGCTACAGCGGTTACTGCCTGCTCAATCGGCAACTGTTGCGTGTTACCAGTTGTTAGTGAGACAATTGCAACAGGTGGCTGATTGAGTGGTCGCACAACCTCAGGCAAAGTGTAGACATGTATAGGACGCCGCTCCGTGTTTGGCCACCAGTGCTACATTTACACTATACTTAACCACTCAGTGTCGTGTAACAATAGTATCAACAGTGACCTTGAGGACATGGGAGATGGTCTAAGTTCAAAACCAGCTATGGACATATTCTACTTCGTGTTGAAAAGGGCAAAAGTCTACCGAAGCAATGTCTAACTGAGACGTGAAAATCGAAATGAACCTAGTGTCGGCCTGAACATAGGTTCGATGAGTAATTTCAGGCGTGTGATTCATAAAACAGTACTGTTGATGTTGTTTAATTACTCAGACGATGAGCGTACAATTCCTCGTAAGCCGACTAAAATGTCGCTTATGCTTCCTATGGTTGAACGCGTACCTATGTCGATCATATGTGCTTGAGTTTTGTAGGCTAGTTTGCTGATACAATGTTTATATACGGCGCTTTTTCGAACAAAAGAAAAAAAAAACTAGTTGTGGAATCATGGATTCCTATCTTCGTGTGACTTTGAAGAAAAATTAAATCTCACTTAACATATGGGTGCAGCATCCGTGGATTCAACTGCCAGATCTCAAGGCGTACAAAAGTGGTTACAGATTGACTGTAAAAGAGGAACAAAATCCATGATATAGCTGCATGAAGGAGTTACCTGCCAATTTCTTGGCATACGATTGTATCTTTTTTATATATATATATATATATATCTCTTGCAAGACGGAGCAACTAATTACGGTGATAGTAAATATGCGAGGATAATAATACCACCAAACATCGTAATCATGCTAAACATTATTACATCACCAAAATCGAGTTCGCACCTTTGTTTTTACATAAAGGCTGAGTTCTGCTGCTGACGTCGTGATCATTCTTGTACAGGCGGCTGTTACGGAGCAAGTAACAGATGT